TTATGTAACTCTAAAATTTGAATAATTGATTGTTTACTTTTATTAGATTAACATCATACCTATTAGATTTTAAGCAAATGTCATTTTAAAAGAATGATATCATATTATCATCTTCGAAATGAGTAAAATATGGATATCAGATTCGATGGCGAATTCTTCTCAATCGGGGAGGAATGAGCTCGCATTGGCGTCCATGGACAAATAGGACCGCCTTCCGGTTTTAATATGACTAATTATCTTTATTTTTATTTTATTACATAATATGTTTTTAGTTCTTATTTAATTTGTTTAGTTTATTTGGAAAAACAAATGTTTACTTACCAAGTTAGGGAACTTAGGAGGGTCAAACTTTTTTATTCTCTGGCTTGTACGCAGATCATTTGGGGTGATTAGTGAATAAAATATTATTTCTCTTGAGATTTTTATCTCGTCTGCTTATTTCGTACGCTACAGTTTACATCACTTCCGCTCCTTCAACCCCACCTCTCGCCGCTGGCGCCCCCTCCGACCCCGACCTGCCACGCTTCCTTTTGCGCACCCCTCCTTCATCCACCGTCCACGACGACCCCGCCACCACTCCTTCTGCTGGGCTCACTGTCGGAGCTAATTGAATTAATTTTTGGATCTCAAATTCTCAATCTCGGATTTCCCGATCTCAAATTCTCAATCTTAAATTCTGAAAAACTAATTCTAAGCAAAGGATATAAAAGTAATATCAACTTAATAGATATAATTTCAAACACTAAACCAAACAAGATAATGGGCAAATTAAATTGGTGGATAGCCTTTGATATAATAAAAAAAATTATACCATGCTCAATCTATTATTGCAACCAATCACATCCTAAGTATTTAAATCTCAATAATTTTGAAAAAGATATATGATGAAAGTATTAAAAAGTATCTTATAAGAATTCTAGAAAAATATCAAAATTTCTACTAAAATCATCAAAGTTTCAGTCCACCAATATTACTCACTTTAAATTTTTTTAAGAATTCTTTACATATTTGAATTAAACACCCTCTAAAGCAATTAGTTTATCTTTGGAATCCAATTAAAAATTGGACTAATTATGAATTTTGGAGAAGGGTAATAAGGAAAAGAGTTTTGATACCGGGAAATATAATTGTCGTCTTCTTTTTCCTGTATAAATATTATGGCATGATTGGTAGGAATGAATGACACGGGAATGGAATGATCATTCCCTTACTCATTTCTTATCTCATGATTGGTATATTTTTTGGAAATGAATGATCATTCCAATGGGAATGGCAAAACCCACCTTCATGGGATTAGTCAATCCATAGTAAATGGAAGGTTTTCTCATTCCCATGTGTGTAGGAATCAAATTTTCAAAAAATAAAATTAACAAATATAATAAAAATAAATATATAATATATATTATAAATTATGATTAAAATATATTAAATAAAATTATTTTAAAAAATAAATTCAAATAAAAGAATTCAAAACTTACTTTTATTTATTTTTTAATTAGATATATTAAATACTTATATAAAAATAAAATATATTACTTTTTATTTTTAAATATTATTAAAAATATATTACTTTTAAGAATATATTATTTTTATATATAATTTAAATTATATTATTTTATTTTTATATATTATGAAAAATATATTATTTTATTTTTATATATTATTAAAAATATATAATTTTACTTTTATATATTATTAAAAAAAGCATTTATATATAATTTATTAAAAGTATATTATTTTTTAAAAAAAGTTTTTATTTATTTTTATAATAAAAAATGATAATGTCATTCCATTCAAGTCCTATTCTTTCTGCATACCAAACGCATCAATGACAAAACTTGTTTCATTCCATTCCCATAATAATTTCATTCTTCAAGTCATTTTATTCCTACGAATTTCATTCCATTATACCAATCATGTGATTAGTCTTTCACTAATGCTTTATAATTTATGTTAAAATTTGAAAAACGAAAATCTAAATACACCACCTCGATAATTTGGACTCAAGCCGTACTATTTTTGTCAACTTAAGACGCAAATTTGAGTGTGCTTCTTGATAAATTGGACACACCTATTTTTGACAACCTAATACACAAATTTAATATGCAAAAAACATGTGAGTGTAAATAAAAATAAATTGTGAAAAAACATGTGATATAGTTCTCCAAGTATGAATTTAATGTGCAATTGGAAGTGAGCTTTTTGCTTTTATTTAATTTGATTTATTGAATAAATAAATAAATTTATTTTAGAATGACATCATGATTGCAATATATGTGATACAAAAATATTAGATAATCATTACAAGTGATTGACCGTTAAAATTTTGTGAATACACGAATATTAGATATTGAGTTTCATTAGAAAATATATAATAATATTTAATTGATATTATTTAATTACACTAATAATATTAAAGAGTTAAATATGATTTATTGAAATTTTTGTTTTAAATCTTACTCCCGCAAGGAAAAAAAAAAAATCATCGCCAGAGCAATATTGGCAACTCGTGCAAGCTTTCAAAATTTGGCCGATGTGGCAAACTTCTTTGCCTATGTGGCTCATGAGATGGTTCTCTACATAACCCCAATTTTTCACAAATTAATTCAAATATTCAATAACCCATTTTTCCCAAATTTATCAAGAACCCCTGTAAAAAATCTGATAAAATGCTTAAAGCATCTATTTAAAATCCAAGGAGATCGGCTTATCCATCTTGTCAGCAACAAGGACCTCATTAATTACTCGATTCACTGCATTTCCTTTATCCTGCATTGAGTTACAAGAACCAAAAGGTCATTTGAAAGCATAGATGGAGAAAAAAACATGACAATAGAAACCCTATGCAAGATGTGTCATCTTGCCTTTATTCCAATGGCTATTGCCGTTTTCAGTTGCACGAGCTCCCCTAATCTTAACGAACCTTCCTTCTTTCTATCTTTTAAAAAGATAAGAGGTACATTCCTTGAAGCAGCCAATGCTGGCAAATGTTTAGTCAGCCATCGAGGGTTGCAGTCGGATGCTAATAGTATTGCCTGAATGTAGACAATTGAAATATATGATAAAAAGCAAATCTTTTTTTTTTTTCTTTCAATATTCATTAAGGCAAATATAAAAGATCTGAACTTTAAAAAAATTAGTTGATTTGCTCTTATCGACTAATGGTAAGACATACGTCCAATAAGAAGATATTTTCAACTTCTGTCGAATGCTACTCGACTAAAGTTGTAACACACATTCTTACGCCTATACATTCCTCACAAGCAGTCCACAAAAACAATCAGATTTTGATTTTGCATGAAATTATGTTGAATGCATGCACTTTAAGAGTATGCTTGGATACAAGTTATTCCAAACAAATTCAATCATTTTTAACCAATCACTCTTTTAACTCAAATCTAACTCAACTTTAACCCCATCCCACTATCCTCGATATTATTAATATAATTAAATAATACAATGAAGCATTCTTACACATTACTATTCATTCACTTACATAATTTTAACTAGTCATCACTTCACATCATCTCTTTTTTAATTTTACATCAAATCAACTTTAATTATTTTATTTTAAATATTATTTTGATATAAACTCAAAATCCCACTAACAACTAGCATACCACATTTTTCAAATTTAACCAAACCAAACCAAACCAAGAAAATCCAATCAAAATAAAAAAAAAAAATCTTATATCCAAAATAGTTTAATTACTGGTCATTCAAGTATCATCATATATTCAGTATATTGAGCCCAAACCAACTTTAGCATTCATGATGTAGCAAGTAAGTAATGCCTAACAAGNAAATAGGAAAAAAACAAATAAAAGAAGGTTTCAAATCAGGGGTACATGTAACGCAACACGTAAGCAAACCTGAAGGGGCGCGCAAGGGGCTTTGCGGCTATCATCACCATTCTTCAAACTACACTCTTCTAAGGAAATATCAGTCCTGGTATGATTCGGGGGAATCCGCTCGAGCGCACGCGTGACTTCATTAACTCCCACTGCAAATTGTTGCTGACAATTTCAAAAAATGTGTTAGGTGTCATCCCATCTCCTCATTAATGGAAAACATGTGAAAGAACATCGTCAAGCACCAAAAGAGAATTCCGCTGAAACATAACCTTAATCCAAAATTTAATAGGCAAAGCAGTGTCAGCAGCTCTGGCAGATTCAATCTCCCTACTCGCACCCCAACAAACAAAAAAAGGAAAATGAAACGAACAAAAAACAATTGGAAGTCAATAAGTCAGACAAAAGCAAGGTGCTATAGGGCATCAGCAGCATGCATACAACATATGGTACCTTTGAATTGATTTGAGCAAATGAATTAGGGTTTCTCCTTCAAGGCAACTACACAAGCATTAAATCAGCAATCATTAGGTTCTTACATCAGCAGGGCCTAAAAAATAATGAGTATAATGATACAGAGTTGGGACTGACTGGGGATAGTGAAGAGATTCACGTAAAGCTCCGGCGGCCGCGCCACTTTTGGTTTTGCTCCGCATAATTGATGGATCTGAACAATATTTTCCTCCCCAATTTTTTAGCGGGACAATAATTTGGGGTGCGGCTAAAAAAATGATAAGAATAAATTAATAGTAATCTCGAGCTCGAACACCTTAAGCTCAAGCTCGGCTCATTACAGGCCTAGCACAGTGTAATGAAAAATGAAAGCATGCTTTAATTAGAAAACTTGTTGTAGTTATAATTGAAAATTGAAATGAAAAACCTGCCTTAATCTTGGTTTGTTCCAAAAAATGAAATGATCAAATTAACAACTTAAATAACTTCATCCACCAATCACCATCATCACAATTCACAAACCAAAAGCATCATTCCAAGTTTACCATCACAATTCAAAAGCTAAACCTTAAAAAAAATATTAATTAAAAAAAAATCAGCCAGAAGTTCACAAATTCAGCAATAAGTTCACAAATTACACAAATTCACAAAATACACATTTCAGTCTCAGCAACAAATGCACAAATTTTAAACACCACATCACAAATTTTTAGTCTCAGCAACAAGTTCAGTCTCACATGCACAAATTTCAGACAAAACCTAACAAATTTCATATTTTTAATCCCTGACTCACCATCTAGATTCAGACCTGAAAATAAAGCCTGAACTCACAACCTCAGACACAACCTCACAATCACAGATTCATAAATTTCAGTCTCAGATGCCCCAAATTCACACCCTGACTCACAATCGATATTCAATCCTGAATTTCATAATTTCAAGCCACAAAATTAACATATTTTCAGCAGTACCAGGTAATTAGAAATACCTTAAAGGGAAGAAGGGAAGCAGGGAGGGGTCGAGCTTCAACCAGAAAATCGCCAGCCGAACTTCGAGCTTTGACCTTCCACTCGTGGACAGAGACCGGGAAGCATGAAGATCGGCGCTGTCGAGCTTCAACCAGAAAATCGCCAGCTGAACTTCGAGCTTCGACACTCGTGGACGGAGTCAGACCAGGAGACTGGAAAGCCGGAGGTCGGCGGTGGATTTTTAAGGATTTCTCTTTCTGGGTCGAAGGGGACGAAGAAGACTAGGGTTCTGCTGTGCAGTGCTGTTTGAGTTCGTCACCTCTTCGTCGGTGGGAGTGGACTGTGTCTGCGTGCATTGGCCGCTTGAAACAAAGAGATTGAATTTCAACGGCCACGATTTCAATATAACTTCATATAATCGTGGTCGTTTATCATATATAACACATACTTTTTAAATATCTGCGGGTAGTACCGCGGGCCAGCCTGCCCAACCCCAGCCGTGCGCCGTCTAGTTTCGCTCCCTGACGAGCCTAGAAAACCTAGGTCCAGCCCGCCCTTTTTTCAGGGTCATTTTCCTTCAATCTAGCCCAGATGTTGCTTCGGGCTCAAGCCTGTTTGTTTTGTTGCAACTTCAAGAAGTGATCTTTTTTTTTTCTCAAGCTTGCTGGTTGAATTCAATTTTTGTGTTGTGTGTGGGTATTTTGTAAAACGAACTATGTAATCAGAGGTTATGAAATTTAAGGGAGATGTTGCAACTTAAAAAAGTGACCTTTTTTTTCTCTCAAGCTTCTTGGTTGGGTTCAATTTTTGTGTTGCAGTGTGTGTGTGTTTTGTAAAACGAACTATGTAATCGGAGGTTATGAAATTTAAGGGCGAGGAATTGTGGTAAATCAACATGTATTGCTTAAAAGAAGGGTGTAACAAAAATATAGAAAATGGCTAATAAACTAAGAGAAAACAATGACAATTTTGGTTAAAACCAATATGCTTTACTGCTGGAAAAATCAAGGCTAAATGAATGAAAAAATACAACGATATCAAAACTGAAAGAAGATCCTAAAATGTCTCAACCAACTCATGTAATTCTGAGCTTATTCCCCTAACTCAAAAGACCATTACTTCCTACCGGTTTTGCTATGGAGTCATCGGATGACTCGATTTATGGAGTCATCCACATTTATTCACCAATAGTGTATTGACACGTGTCCTGCAATATATACAATTTGGACAAGTGTCAATACATTAAGTGGTGGATGACTCTATAAGAAAATCATCCGATGGTTCCATAGAATTTTTGTACTTCCTACATCTGATATTCATCATATTTTCATACATTATGAGTGAGTGATATATTGTGATATTTTCGCGTGTTTATAATTGGATTGTGCACCATTTTATTTATTTATTAATCTATGATAAAAGTACATTTGTCGTTGGTTTTGTAGAAAATATGCCCGAAAAAAGTGTTAAAAATGGAGTCGGGACGAAAAACGCTGAAAACGAAGTGCAATCGAGGACACATGACTCGTATGGGTCAGTGACACGAGTCGTGTGGATGGAAAAAAAAGAGAGAGTTTTGCTACGGTTTTTTCATGCGACTCGTGTGGCAAGTGACATAAGTCGTGTAACCGGTCATGTGAGGGGTCGCGTGTGTCTGGGAGTTTGGCGAAAACTAGAGAAAAGCCACACGACTCGTGTGACCGTAGGACACGAGTCGTGTGACGCACAGACTAAACCAGCGTGTACTAGGATTCTGATGCGATTTCTTGCATTTTTCGACTCATAATTGCCCTACAGTATAAAAGAAACTTGGAGACCTCAGTTTTGGGACTTTTGACACTTTTGGAGGCCGAGAGAAAGCACGAAACGCACGAGTAATTCGAGGAAGTCAAGATTAAAAATTCGGGAACTATTAACGACAATAGTTCTTTTTTCTTTTCTCTTTTTCTTCTTCATTGAACTCATGTATTTATTTATTTTGAAATTTGAGAATATGTTTAGTAACTAAACCTTATTGAGATTCTATGATTTGTGAATACTCATATTATTTTATGAAGTAATTTTATTTATTCATTCTGGTCTATCATTCGTTTATTATGGGTATAGGGCCCGTATATATGCATATTTGTGATTAACTTGAGACCGAGATGAGATAGTTGATTACTAGAATTGAGAAATTCATAACGTTAGAGATTAAATATGCCGAGAGGTTATTAGGAACAAGGAGAGTTAATTGTTCATATTGAGGCCGAGAGGAGATAAATAGCAATTAGTCAACGATCTAGCTTGCTCGAGAGAGATGTTAAATTATTTTAGTGATTGTCCCTACGTAGAATTAAACGTTTTGTTTTAAACTCATTATTTTTTCTTAGTTCAATTAACCATAGTTTTTAAACCCGGCCCTGTAATCGACCCGGACAAATTTTCGGGTCACCGGGTCAATTGTTGAATTGGATAATTAATTTTATAATTTTTAAAATTATATATATAATATTTTTGTCATATAAATATACATAAAAGTAACAAAATTAAGAGGGTGATTGTTTATCAATTCATCTAGAAATTAATTAGTTTTTTTTTTTAATTATAGTTACTTTTGGAAAAAGTTAGTATAGTTAGTTGTTGGTGGATTTATTAAAATAATATTTAAAATAAAATAATTAAAATTGATAGATGTAAAAGTAAGAGGAAAATGATTGGAAATGATGGTTAGTTAAAATTATGTGAGTGGATGAATAGTGAATTAAAATTGATGTGATGTGTAAGAATGATTGGTTGGAATTATTTAATTATATTGGTAATAATGGAAATAGTGGAGTTGTGTTAAAATTGAGTTAAATTTGAGTTTTGATTGGTCTTTTTTTAATTGGATTGATAAACAATCACACCCTAAATGTTTTGTGCATAAAATTTGTACATTAAAGTGTTAATAATATGTATCTTATGATAAATATTTACCATATAAACATATATACATAGTTTTATTTTAAAAAAAAAAAATATGGACCGGGTCAATGTCCCGGGTCGGCCGAATTTTGACTGGATTTGACCGAGTCCTTTGTTGCCCGGTTCAAATACCTCGTCGACCCGCCGGGCCGGTCCCGTCACAACGCCAGCACCGCAGCTCTGTCGCCGTCTTCACCTATCGCCGCCGACTGGTTTCCTCCTAACATTCCTTTCTGTTTCCTCCTCTCTCGTCACGCCCAGCAAAACACATTACACCCATCTGAATCAAGAAGCTAACGGATCCTCGACTGAAATGAATATTTCAATCTCGCTCCTGATGAAGATATCCCTCTGAGCTAAACATTCCATGTCTTCTCTCCGCTCTTCCCCCCAATTCCTTAAAAATCTCAACCCCCTCTCGCCGCCGGTCGCCCCCAAAGCCTTCTCCGGATCTCGGAAAGCCGCCGCCACGCTGTTAAAACCAAGGGCCCGCAGATTCCCCAATCCAAAACCCTCGGCCGGAAAACCTAACCCCGAGCCAAAACTCTATTCGTCGGAAAAAATCAGAACGGTATACAAGATTTTGAAATATTCCACCTGGGATTCAGCTCAAGAACAACTCCCGACCCTCCCGTTCAAATGGGATTCCTACACAGTCAACCAGGTCCTCAAAACTCACCCCCCCATGGAAAAAGCTTGGCTCTTTTTCAACTGGGCATCCGGGAGGAAGAATTTCAAGCACGACCAGTACACATACACGACGATGCTTGATATCTTTGGGGAAGCCGGGAGGATTTCATCCATGATGTATGTTTTCGATCAGATGAAGGATAAAGGTATAAAGATCGATGCCGCCACTTATACTTCGCTAGTGCATTGGGTGTCTAATGATGGAAATATCCAGAGAGGGATTGAGCTCTGGAAGGAGATGAAGGCAAAGGGCTGCCGCCCGACGGTTGTTTCATACACGGCTTTTATGAAGATTTTGTTCGATCACAAGAGAGAAAGTGAGGCTTGTGACGTGTATAAGGAGATGCTTGATTCGGGGCTTTCGCCTAATTGTCATACGTACACTGTCTTGATGGAGTATCTTGCTAACTCTGGTCAGTGGGATTTTGCTGTGTATTGCTAAGTTATATGCCTACTTTTGGTTTGATTGTAGAATGTTTTGTGTTTTTGACTTTAATTGTTTTATGCAAATCCTCAATGTGGTTGAATTGATGGTTTTGCTGTGTATTGATAAGTTATATGCCTACTTTTGGTTTGATTGCAGAATGCTTTGTGTTTTTTACTTGAATTGTATTATGCAAATCCTCAATGTGGTTGAATTGAATTGATGGTTGTAGACAAACGTATACATATAAGAAAAGGGAGTTGCATTTCCTTTTTTGTTGATACAAATGTGTAGCCTCGCGATTTTTTTGTAAAGCTATGATTTTGTGACTTATATTTTAACCTTCAGGAAAATTCATCGAGGCCATGGAGATATTTAACAAAATGCAAGAGGCCGGCGTGCAGCCCGATAAAGCTACGTGCAACATTTTGATCGAAATTTGTTGCAGAACAGACGAAACGCGGACAATCACGAGAATACTCGAGTACATGAAGAACAATTTCATTGTCCTACGCTATCCCATATATCAAAAGGCAATCGAGGCTTTCGAAACTGCCGGGGAGTGTGATATGCTTCTTAAACAAGTCCATCCACATTTTTCCAAACAACACTCTTCAACTGATTCAAATCACGATTCAGTTACACAAAATAACGAGTTTGACCTAGAGAATGGGCTCGTTTTGTTGTTGATAAGCAAGCAGAATCTTGCTGCTGTCGACTCGGTACTTGCTGACATGGCAGAAAAGAAGATACCTTTAGAGGCTAGAGCGATCTCAAGGATTATTGAGGTAAACTGTGCTCGTAACAGAAAAAATGGTGCTCTATTGGCTTATGAGTACAGTGTGAAATCGGGTATAGACATTGAAAGAGATTCTTATCTTGCCCTGATAGGCTTATCCATTAGATTAAATTCGTATCAGAAAGTTGTGGAGATTTTCGGGAAGATGGTCGAGCGTGGTTTTTCGCTCGGGACCCACTTAAACTCTCTCCTCATACACCGTCTTGGCTGCAGCCGGAAAACTGCCTCTGCTATAAAGATATTTGATTTATTGCCCGATAGAGATAAGAGTACAGCTGAGTATACTGCTTTAATAAGTGCTTATTTCTCTTCTGGGAATGATAAAAAGGGACTCGAGACGTTCGGAATTATGAGAAGTAAGAGTTTTAGTGTTACGTTGGGGACTTTAAGCGTGTTGATTGCCGGTCTTGAAAAATGCGGTAAATATCGTGAGGTGGTATATTATAGAAAAGAAAAGAAGCGGGTGCAGATGGAAAGATGTTCATTAAATATGACGATGGAGGAAAAAATATGCGATCTTTTATTTGCTGGTGATTTTGTTGCTAGTCGTGCAAGATAGTTGGGACAAGGAATTGCATACGCTGCTTGTTCTTTGTTTCTGTTGGCCTGGCCTTACCTTCTGAATAAGGGGCCATTCGGCAAACGGCCATTGTTGAGTATATAAGAACCTTCGATCAGTCGTCTGTAACATTAGAGAAAGCTTCTTAGGATGAAATGGAAATACAGACAGAGCGCTGCTGCTGCTGCCAGCTCGAGGCTTGAGGTATTACAATTTCTATGCCATCTTTCCTTTGATTTAATTCATTCTGTAAAATAAGGTTGTTATCCAAATTTATAAATTGTCTTTTTTTAAACATTGTATTAGTACATAGTTCGTGCGATATACGGGACAAAAACGATTTATCTTTTAAATTATAACAATAAAAGAATATTGATTAATATAAAAATAGTTTTGAATATTAATATTAATTTTATATATTTTCTTATGATGTATTATAATTTAATATATGATTTATATATTTATTTCACCCGTCATAAATAACTGTGTATATTATTATTATAAGCTGACACTTAATTTAAAAAAGATGTAGTGTATATTATTTTAAAGTTACAAAATTTACTGATTATTAATTACATCGTATATTATATAAATTTTGAATTTTCTTTAATTCATATGATAGTTCGACACCGATTGATTTTTCATGATAATTTATAATAATATACATTATAGATATTTTAGTTTTCTTAAGCTAACAATTTAAACTGTTCTTCGAGATATGAGATATGACTTGTTTGTTTATCATTATAATTTGTAATGATGTACATTATAATATTTTATTTTTTCTTTCTAAGTTAAAATTTTCATTCATAATTAGACCGATGATCCGTTGGTTTTACAACATAATTTGTAACCGTATATATTATAAATATTTGGAATTTTCTTTCTTAACTTATAATTTCTATGGTAGTTCGATAGATGACTCATTGGGTCATCATAATTTATAACAATATATATTATAAATATATTGACCTCTTATAATCTATTAACTGGCTTGACAAATGATTCGTTAGTTTACCATATTAATATTGTATATACTTGATTCTTGAAATAATTGTTTACTTATAGTTTTATAATTTTTTAGCATTAATTTTTTAAATCCAAGAGGGATAAACATATCAATTACTATTTAAAATTATTTTTAAATTTATATATTTTATTTACGTACATTTAAATTTATTGTATGAATAATTTTAGACTAAATTTTTATATTTTTGAATTAGTTTCAATCAATCGATAAGCTGTTAGAATCCCACTAAGTGAAGTCGGCTATATGGATCACATGTCGCCATCGTGTTCGATCAAAGCATATATTCTCATTCAAATTTAAATATTTTAAATAGTTTTTTATTGTCTCATTTCAAGTTTTCTTCAGTCTTCCCCTCCCCTTTTTAATTTGCGTTCTTAATTCTAACGTTTCTACCTTTAAATAATAAAATTAATTTCACTCTATTTATGCAATATTAACTAATAAACTTATTCACTTTAGTTATAAATACAATAGAAATAAGTACTAATATCAAATTATTGATATCACATCTCTAAAATAAAAATAGAACAAATTAGATAGAAATAAAATAATTATTTCAAAATATTTGAAAAGTTTAATTATTAGATGTAGATTAATTATTGACATTACATTACTTAAAACAAAAATAAAAATCTCACTATGGATGGTAAAGAAAAGCTTATCAATTTACCTAAAATGGACATCATATTATCTATAACTCTATTTGATTTTGATTTAATTTATTTTTTTTCCAAGTTTTATTATATTGTAATTATATGTTATATTTATATAGTTTTCATCTCTCATCTATTTTTTTTTTCAAATATATTTAACTTTATAATATTCAATAATTTCAAATATAATGTGTATGAATGTAATTTTTTAAATTTTATGAAATATAATAAATATTTTTATTTTCATTTAGATTTTTTTTAATATCATTATAATGTTCAATCTTTTTGTAGTCTTCATTTAAGTTGAAATATAAATTTTTAGAATACTTTTTTATATTAATTTTATTTTCGTACTTTATTTGAAATTATTTTCGTTTAGTAAATAAATTTTAATTTTATTCGTAAGGATAAATACCACTATTTTGTATTTTATATATGTAGTGTAAATATGAAATCGAAGATTGTTAAAAGATTATTAAGTTTATCTATCATATATGGAAAATAAAATTCAAACATAAAAATTATAAACCTTTAAAAAATAAATAAGAAGAAGACTCATTTATAGTAATTGATGTATGAATCTATCATTATATAAAAAGAATAACCTTTTTACAAATTTAGAAACTTTTTCCCGCCAAAATCATTAAATATATCCTACATATAGTAATTGTTGAATAAATCTGAATAGACAAAAAAATCGGCTCATTAATTGTGTAAAGATTTGTTTCTCTTTTTCCTGTTTTTTAGTTATCAAAACCGTTGTTTGACAATAAATATTTGTTTTTCTTTTTCCTATTTTTAGTATAAATCTACACGAGCTTATCTCTGTTAGAAAATCTCATTGCATACGTCTCACGTGTTTAAAAGATCTCATCCCTTATCTATACAGATTTGAAAAAATAAAATAAAAATCAGTTCATAATTACTACTAGAAATTCATAATCTTTAAAAAGAAAAAATAAAATAAAATAGAAACCAATTCATAATTACTACTATAAATCCATTATCTACTTTAAGAAGTTAATTTTCATCGGTCTAATTACTAATATTTTTACAAATATTATAAGCTAACCATACAAAAAAGTATAATAATAATTTTGAAATGGTGTGTAATCAAATTTTTTTATTCTCTTATACAAAATAATTTTACATTGTTTGACCCCGAATCTTTAATTTATAATTATTAAGTATTGTTTATCCTCTCTTTAATTTATAATTATTTTTTTTCTTCCTCTTTTTAAATAGGATCAATAGTAATTTCCTCTTCCGCCATTGAATGACTCAAACTCGAGGTCTATTTATAATATTGTTAATTTAATATTATTCCCGTGCATCGCACGGGGTATACACTAGTTAAATAATTAAATGAAATGTATATATTGTAATATAAGGAAAGAAAACTTAAAATGATTTATGGTAACTAATTGTGGAAGAAAAGTAGGAAAAAATCAATCAAAGATTTAATATGAATAACATAGACATTCAATATAATTCAAACCTAATATTTTTGTGTAAAAAATATTATTTTTATACAAACCTGGTTCCGAAATGTGAATTTTTTTCCATATAAGCTTCCGAAAGCATGCGAACCTATTACATAGGCTTAACGCATTCGAGAATTATATATAGAGGGGATTTCACAGCATAAATATAAGTTTTTGTCCAAAAAGTATGACAGACTAGTCTGATCAATTGTTAGATTGACTAACAAAGGTATTTGTGAACATTTGAAGGCAAAATAGTGGAGCACAAGTTGGTGTTATGAGTTATGGAGCAATATATATGATGAAGATCTTTGAGAGCATATGCTTCCTAAATTAGCCAAGCCCATACCCATTTGAGGAAGATGACCAAAATTCATGACATCCCAAAAGGCAAAAAATTATGAGGTGCAACATTTATCACCCAATCTTTTGCCCTTTTATTCTGTTTGGATTTTAGAACCATGGTTGGATATATCATCATGTATCAACTTTGTTGTGTTTGGAGATTTGTTATTGCAAATGATTTTATATATATATATATATATATATATATATATATATATATATATA